GCTGGTACACACGTTTTCTTTCTCCTTTTTCTCTGGAAATGTTGAAAAACACAAATACTGGATGTAGAAAATATCTGAATAAACCGGCCTGTCTGAATATGTGACTATTTATGTTTATGATGCTCAATCATTTAGTGTCTGTCATTAGTGAGTCTACATGATAATTTCTGAATTATTCTGCAGTCTAACTGGTCAACAATCCAATAAAATCCATATTTACATGTTTAATATCAGTAAATAATATATTTGACAACAGATAAAATTGATTTTAAATAAGGTTAAACATGAACATCGAAGCTGTTTAATGTTAGCGTACAGTTTTTACAATTAAAATAATTAATTTTGGTTAAATATATGTAATATTTACCAGTGAAACATAACCCTTTTAGCTCTTATAAACGTGTTGTAACAGTTTCTGCAGTTTATAGCAAAGTATTTGTAACATTTGTACATTTATAAAGCATTTGTTTGCACCGCGCTACGTTCTGCTCATTGATTTCAATGGTTAGCGTTAGCATTAGCTCAATGCATAAATACCCCTCTTGCGAAGCCACGCCCAGGTCACATGACGCCCAGTTCAGTGACATACAGTAAATGAATGGTTTTTACAGGTGATGGTGTGAACAGACAGAGACGAGGCTGGAGGATGGTTCTGGGAGGAATCAGAACCTGTCTTTGTTTGGGGAACAGAGCAGGACAGTCAGATCTGAACCTGAGCATCATCTGCAGAACGACAAACTAACACAACACACACTTGAACACGTTGAAGGTTCATATGTTCCATCTGAAATAATTAATCATCATCACTTCTTCCTTAACTCTGTCACTTTATTCAGTCTGTTCATCATGTGCACCATCCTGACCAACTGCTGCTTCATGGCCATGTCGGAACCGGCCTACTGGGCCAAATACCTGGAGTGAGTACACCTGAGACACTTCCTGTCTGTGTCCGTCCTGCACAGTTCAGCTGTTCACTGCGTGCACAGAGAGCAGCAAACGGCTTCATGTTGTTCAGGAGGAAGGCCTTCAGTCAGATGTTGATGAATCAGGCAGAACTGAAATGTCAGGATCCAAATGTCAAAACCGAACGAAGAATTTCATGTCAGGTTTGATTTTCTCTGCTGCTTCGTGCCTCCAGTCCTGTGCTGTAAACATGTTAGCTCAGAGCTGAAACAGGTTCAACTGCTGCTGACCTCTGACCTCTGACCTCAGCCCGACACTCACCTTTATTCCACTCAGACCAACAGAAACATAAAYCATCTGTTGTTTGGTCTGTTAGGGTCAAACCTGCAGTTTTACAGTGGGAAGATCTTAGTTTTTGTTTGGACGGGAGGTGCAGACGAAGCAGAAAACCTGTTTTTAACTGATTTGTTGTGATGTGGGCGGAGCCTGAAGCTTCCATTATTGCCTGATTCTTCTGGTTGTGTGTGCAGTGCTGGCTCTAGCCATTTTGGTGCCCTGGGTGAGTTGAAGCCCCCCACC